ATATATAGTACTGTGTAGACGTTTTGGTCAGGTGTGCTGTAAAGTAAAATGTTTCAGAAATAAAAGTCTTCATAGTTTATTTTTTTATCAATGAACAAAATGGAAAGTAAATGAAGAGAAATCCAAATCCAATCAATATTTGGGACAACCCCCCTTTGCCTTCTTCTAGGTACAGTTGCACACAGGTGTTGAAGGAACTCGGCAGGTAGGTTGTTCTCGGTACATCTCGGAGAACTGAGCACAGATCTTCTGTGGATCTCGGCTGCCTCAGATCCTTCTGTCTCTTCATGTCATCCCTCCATGATGGTGAGATCCGGGCTCTGTGGGGACCCAACCATCACTTCCAGGACTACTTGTTATTCTTTACACTGAAGACAGTTCTTGGCTGTATGTTTTGGGGTCCTTGTCCCTCTGCAGAATACATTTGGGGCCAATCACACGCCTCCCTGATGGTATGGCATGATGGATAAGTATCTGCTTGTATTTCACAGGAGGACACCATTGATCCTGACCAAACCGTTAACTCCTTTGGCAGCAATGCAGCCACAGACTTGCACGGAACCTCCACCATGCTTAACAGTTGCTGCAGCCACTCATTATTGCTCCGCTCTCCAGCCCCTCGCTGAGCAAACTGCCTCCTGCTACACCCAAATATTTCCCATTCTGACTCCTCAGTCCAGAGCACCTGCTGACATTTTTCTGCACCCCGGTTTCTATGTTTTCGTACATAGTGGAGTCACTTAGACTTGTTTGCACATTGGAGGTCTGGCTTCTTGGCGTAAAGGCTGCGGTTTTAAAGGCAAAGGGGGGGGGGGGTCACACCAAATATTGATTGGATTTGGATTTCTCTTCTGTTTATTTACTTTAAAAAAAAACTATTTTGTTAATTGGTCGGCGGGACAGGAGGATGGGACATACTACACGCACCCTGTGTATCATGTTGAACTTATTGTGAGCATGTGTAGCTCTACCAGTATTCACGGGACAGAGGAGAGAAGTTAATTGTTATGCTTTGCATACACTTTAAGCCTACGTGATGGCTACCAACTGCTCCCTCTGGCACCAGACGTGCTACATAATCTGTGTTTAAAGCAGAACTCCAGCCAAAAAATAGTGAAAAATTTAAAGAACAGTCCATTCAAAAATGAAAAGCAGCTTTAGAAGCAATATTCCCCTTCCCTGCAGTGCTACCGCTACTCCACTAGATGTCCTAAGTCTTCTGGATTGAATGACTACCAGCATCAATCATTCCACTTCTGAGGCCAGGCTGTCAACGACCCGCCCCTGGGGGTGTGTCATCATGTAGAGAATTACTGCGCTCACATGTCATTACACAAGTTCTGTCCAATGTAGCCATAAGGTATGCTCCCCCATCTCCCGGCCCCAGAAGAAGCAGGACCTGTGATGTCATCAGACCAGTTAGAACACCTTTGGAGCAAGGTGTATATGTTTCTACGGCACATTGTGCAACGTTTCGAGATAGCTGCAGGGTGCTATAGAGGTCCAGGGCTGGCTGCAATGGTGTGACTCAGTCCCTGAAGACCCCTTTTGAGGGGTATGACTTTCTGAAATGGAAAAAGACTTGGGGGGGGGGGGGGTTCACACCCACCTATTATGCAGCCATATGCCCTGGATATGGTAAGTCAGGGCTTGGTCCTTTAGGCGGTAGGTGCCTCTTTGGGCTTTTCAGCATCAGGCATCTGCTTCTCAGGTTTGTATGGCCGCCACTTGGCCTCCTGTTCACACGTTTCCTAAGTGTTACTAGGTGGATGTACAGGTCTCTCGATGCCAGCTGTGACCGCATGGTGCTTCAAGCTGCTGTCCAATTTGGGGGTCCTTGACCCTCTGGGCCTGTTGGCATTTGTTTGCTATGTTGCCCACCCCTCTGTTCTATTAGCGGGGACATCCCAGTCATCTCTGACTCTGTCCTGTACTTTACAATCAAGAAAACAGAATTTTTGACTGGTCTGTAAAATCCGTTGTTTGGAGTAGAGGACACAGCACCCTTCCCTCTATGTCCTCCTATTGCTTGCTAAAAGACTGGGGATTTCTGGGTGTTGGAGGGGTTATATGGGGTCCTCACAGCTCTGGCCAGTGTCCAGTCGCCTGAAGTTATCTGCATATAACCCATCCGTTTATGACCGAGCTTATGTTCTGTACTCTACTCCAAGGAAAGGATTTTACAGGTAAGTTAAAAAATCCTGGAGGAGCCTTGTGGGAGTTTTTAAAAATTAAGACATGTCCATCATAATGGTGTTCTGTATGTGCATGATTTTAAATGGATTTTTTTTTAACCGAATTTCAATATTCTCACAGAAGTCATTTACCATTCCCCACCACTCTCCATTCTTAATACCCCTGCAGCGGCATCAGAACCGCAAGGATCAAGCAGATTACGTAGGACTTTTTTTGCTTGATCAGCATCCACCATAAAAAGCCCTACAGAAGACAATGTTCTGCCTCTCGCCCCATAGCTCCAGTCCTGTCCATCGTCTCATATCTTCTGCCCTGCCTGCCAACCCATGCCCCCTTCCCTGCCTGTCACCCCATGCCTCCTGCCCCATGTCTCACTCCATATCTTCTGCCCCGCCTCTCACCCCATACAACCTTCCCTGCCTCTCATCCCCTGTCCAGCCTCTCAGTGCATATTTCCTTCCCTGCCCCTCGCCCAATACCTCCTATCCTGCTCATCACCCCATACCCCTCCGCCCTGCCTCTCACCCCATACCTTCTACACCGCCTCTCACCCTACACTTCCTGTCCCTCTCTCATGCCATACTATCCTGCCTATCACCCCATACCTCCTGCCCCTTCTCTCACCCTATATCTTTTGCCCCATACCTCCTTATCTGCCTCTCACACCATACCACCTCTCACCCAATACCTCCTATCCTGCCTGTCGCCCCATATCTACTGCGCCACCTCCCACCCCGTACCTCCTTCCCTGCCTCTCACCCCCTGTCCAGCCTCTTATTGCATATCTCCTTTTCCTGCCTCTTGCCCCATACGTCCTATCCTGCCCATCGCCTCTCACCCCATACCTCCTGTCCCTCTTCTTACCCCACACCTCCTACCCCACCTCTCATCCTACACCTCTCCACCCCATACCTGCTTCCCCAACCACTCACCCCATACCCCCTGCCCTTCTCTCACCCCATACCCCCTGCCCTTCTCTCACCACATACCTCCTGCCACCTTCTCACTGTTTCTTTCTCTTATTCTTTAGATGTCACAAGCTACAGGAATCTCTTCTGAGCTCAGCGAGCGGATTCAGCAACTACCGAGGCATTCTCAACTGGTGTGTTGTCATGCTGGTGAGCTAACAGTCCATATTAACGTTTTTTTATCCCCAATATAGTTGGCTTATATTATTATTAGTATTATTATACAGGATTTATATGGTGCCAACAGTTTGCACAGCGCTTTACAATATAGGGAAGACCTTACAATACAAGATGGTAAGGAGGGCCCTGCTCCTGAGGGCTTACAATCTAAGAGGGAGGGGCAAGTGATACATTATAGGCCAGATACATCCTAAATATAGAGCCATTTATCCAACTGTCCATCCAGGGCCGCTGGTTTATAGACCAGATGCAACTCGAATCTAGAGCTCTGTATCTAGCTCAAATATCAATCTGATTTCCTTTTGGCTCTTTGGGGTATTATATGTACACCATGATTTGTATAGGTTAGGGTATTGACGCTGATGAAGATGAGGTATTGAAGGGGGGGGATGAGATGTGGTCATTGCTCAATGGACAGGTGGATTGTGTTGTGGGGGGAAGGGTTCTTGCTCAACTTTGCTGGTTACGTGTATATGAGGACTGTGAGTGGACACCGGGCTGTTAAACATTACCCATCATTACCCTGATTCCGACCTCTGATTATTCTGCTGATATCACTTTACAACCTAAGATAAAACTCTTTCCACTATGCATACTTTTGAGTCTGGTCGATATGCTAATATCGTGAATACTGGCTGGGATCTGTGCCAGAAGATCCTCAGGTCCCACAGGGTTGGGTATGGGGTCCCTCTGTATTCACTTTCCTGGAGAGCTGTTTTGGGGGAAATCCAACAAAGATGAAAACCCAGTAATGTTCTCTGTAATGGGCTTTGTACCTGAGTTCAAAAGGCTCCCAAAGTGAATGCCAAGGAAAAATCTGCAAAAACATATTCAGTACAATTCATACACATTTCCCATCTTTTATCCCTTTAGCCTCTTCAGCAATTACCCCTGTACACCCCCTATGGACCAGATCAGTTTTTACAGTTCTACTACAGGTTTATTGATTTGGCAATAACTTTACGTGCATATACACTGATCAGCCATAACATTATGACCACCCGTCTAATATTGAGTAGGTCCCCCTTTTCCTGACCCGTCAAGGCATGGACTGCACTAGACCTCGGAAGGTGTGCTGTGGTATCTGGCACCAAGCCGTCAGTAGCAGATCCTGTAAGTCCTGTACGTTGTGAGGTGCGGCCTCCATAGATCAGACTTCTTTTTCCAGCACATCCCACCGATGATGGATTGTATTGAGATCTGGAGAATTTGGAGGCCAAGTCAACACCTTGAACTCATTGTTGTGTTCCTCAAACCATTCTTGAACCATTTTTGCAGTGTGGCAGGATGCATTATCCTGCTGAGAGAGGCCACTGCCATCAGGGTATACTGTTTCCATGAAGGGGGGTACTTGGTCAGCAACAATGTTTAGGTCGGTGGTCGTGTCAAATTAACATCCGCATGAATGGCAGGACCCGAGGTTTCCCAGCAGAACATTGCCCAAAGAATCACACTGCCTCCACCATCTTGTCTTCTTCCCATAGTGCATCCTGGTGCCATCTCTTCCCCCCTCGCGCACCCGGCCATCCACATGATGTTAAAGAAAACGTATTTCATCGGACCAGGCCACCTTCTTCCTCTGCACCGTGGTCCAGTGCTGATGCTCACATGGCCATTGTAGGTGCTTTTGGCGGTGGACACGGGTCAGCATGGGCACCGTGACCGGTTTGCGGCTACCCAACCCCATACACAACAAACTGTGATGCTCTGTGTGTTCAGACACCTTTCTATCAGAACCAACATTCACTTTTTCAGCAATATGAGCCACGGTAGGTCTTCTATTGGATCGGACTACACGGGCAATCCTTCCCTCCCCCTGTCCATCAGTAAGCCTTGGCTACCCATCACCCTGTCACCAGTTCTCCGGTTTCCCTTCCATTGACCACTTCTAAACATCATAATTTGGCCCTCAAGTCCTTACACTTGTCCATTTTTTTCTCTGCTTCCAACACATCAATGTCCGGTACAAAATGTTAATTTGCTGCCTAATATATCGCCCCCCCACGTGCCATTGTAATACCCC